CCCCCCCCCCCCCGGGTCAGCGTGATTGGCTGCCCCCCCAAATTGCTGGCTGATGTCAGGGGGGCATATGCCCCCCACGACTCAAGAGGAACCAGTCACGCAGGGACAGCATTATATTAGTGAAGTTACTGATTCCTTGCCTTGTTGAATCCAGACGGTAAGCAGCCATCTTCTTCCAGGATTTTGGGGAGTTTCAGATGGCTTTGGACAAGCATTTCCATGCTGTTTTCACACACAGTAAATTTTTCACACATCTGCAAAGAGAAAAAGAGTTGTTTTTACACCTGTTTCACGTTACTTTATTCAAGGCAAGAGGCAAGGTAGTGATGCATAGTGATGGCAGGGGACTTAGGCATGAAATTCATTAAGGACTAGTACAAAGTCCTGCATTTAGGACGGAACAACCCCATGCACGTTATAGGCTGGAGACTGACTAGCTAAGCAGCAGCTCTGCACAAAAGGACCTGGGGATTACAGTGGACAATAAGCTGAATATGAGCCAACAGTGTGCCCCAGTGAAGGCTAACGGCATACTGGGATGTATTAGTACAAGCATTGCCAGCTGACTGAGGTGAGTGAAGTACTGTGTCCAATTTTGGGCCCTCCACTACAGCAAGGATGTGGACAACTAACAGGGAGCAAGGAAAATGATTAGGAGGCTGGGACACCTGGCTTCTTAGAAGAGGCTGAGGGAACTGGACTTATTCAGTCTGCAAAAGAGAAGACTGAGGGGGATTTAATAGCAGCCTTAAACTACCTGAAGCGGGGTTTGGAAGAGGATGGAGCTAGATATGTTTTGTAGGGGGCTTGTTTTAAGGACTTTGGCCCAGGTCCTTTAGGCAACATAGGCTGAAAATAACAGCTTTCTGGGAGACTATGGATTGTAGCAGAAACAGCTTTCAGATCTGACCAGTGTCTGGGGTTATCTATGATTTATCATCGAGGCTCTGCAGCCTGAGCCAGGCTAAGGGGCTGGGAGGTGGGCATTTCCTGGTTGTCGGAAGGCCTCTGGCGTGGCACGGTCCTGGCAAGCGGGCAGGGAGGATCTGCACCTCTTCCATGGTGCAGCTCAAGGGGGGAAAGTGCTGGCTATGCTGCCTGCGGGGTGGAGCGGGCAGGCGCAGGCACCTGCTCCCCCTCGCCGCGCCACTCACCTCGTGCTTCAGCCTGGCCGCCCGGGTGCGCAGCAGCCACGCCAGCGACTCGTAGTCGGGCACCGGGGAGCTCCGCGAGGGCGACGGCTCGTCCACGAGGTCTTCCTCCCCGGACGAGTCCGGCACGGGCAGAGCTGCC